ATCTCGTCCGGAAATAACATATAAACTGTCACTTTATGTTTTTTACTGTTTTTGGTCTTTTTTGGATTTTTTACTGTTTTTTGTACTTTTTTGTTTTTAAATAATTATGTTTTTGGCTTTTTCTTGGTTATACACTGTTTTTGTTTGGTTTTAAGCTTTCTCTTTAGTTGTTTTTGGTCCCGGGACCTCGGGACAAGCGGGTTCATGACTTCCCACATAACCCTCCGGCCCCCGGAATTTTCGGTGTTAACTAAGTTAAAAAGCTAAATTGCACTAGACGGAGGGTACGCACCTTCCCCCTAGTACAACAACGGTCATTAAGACCTCTAACTCGGGCATACGCCCGGAGCGGAGGGTTCGTCACTGAAACGCTTGCTGATCATGATGGTTTCATGCCTTTAACAGGCCCACCCAGGAGCGCCATAAAAACGTCTATGTAACATTCGCCCAAATATCACACAGCGACGGAGCGTAGAAAAAGTACCTATTAACGACTGGCAGGCGTCAGTTACCTTAATCCTACTCGTTTTTCACCGTCTCGATCTTGCCAGTTGATTTTCTGGTCTGTTTAGGGCAAAGTAAAAAGTTACCATTTTTAGGCCATCAGTCAAACGACTTTTGATCAGCTTTCGTTTACATGCGAACACAACCACATAGCTGAGTCTCGGATCCTCAGACTACGTGATTGTCATTAAAAACACGGCTCGAACAACCTATTTTATTATGTTTTTGTGTGACAGTTCTATATTAAATCCATTGGAGATGGATTGACCCTTTCCTTTTTCTATCTACTCATGTCCTGAAATATCAAATAATATCGGTGTTTAATTAAGATCTAGGACATTACAGCAGCTGTTAAAGTTAGTTTTCACAGTCCCTTCACATAGACAGTCTCTGGGGGACCAAGCCTCCGCTCCCGTGATTTTCTTGAGATAACACTCTTATCTCCTATATTTCGTGTCCCGGGAGGGTTCCGTGGTATTTCTCTTCCCCCCACTGAAGCCTCCGTCTCCACAAATATCTGTCGCTAAGGTCCTTATCGTGTGTTTTTGCCACGATAAGAGGCTCCGTGTTTTTCTGTCTCTGATACAATTGTTCTTCACAATCTCTATCGTGGTTCTGATTTTCGTCTTTTTTATTCAAAATGGCCGTCTTTTTTCTATTTCTCAGAAATGTTCTTCTTCCAATCGAAATTTTAAAAATAAAAATTCTAGAACATTCTGACCCTCCGTCGCAACACTTTTTTGTTCATAAGGCCTTTAGTCACTTTTTTTTCTGTCGCGGGAAGGTTATGCTGTGTCATCTGGCAGAATGGCACATCCCTCAAGGTCAAACTTCCAGATATGACCGACTGGCACACTACTACTACTTATTATTTTACTATTAATTTTGTTCAGTAGATAAAAATCATCATCTCCATCGAAGTTGGATCAACCCTTTCCCCCAACTCCTAGCTTCTCATCCTCGTAAAATGAATTCAGATGTTAATTAAATTCAATTAAGGACATAATAAGGAAGCTAAAAGTTTGTATAAAATAATATGAGTTCCAGTCCCGAGACCCCTCCGGATTCTTGAATCCGGGGAAATAAGACCCTTATTTTCCTTCCGGATGGCTGTCTTCTACCCTTCACCGTTATTAGCAACGGTCTTGCAACTATTGTAGCGGCACGATAGTTGCAACTCGGAGCGGTCTCTGCTACTTCTGCTTTTCTCCGATTCTGATTCTCAATTTTCTAGTTGTTGTCGTCGTCGTCGCAACTATCGTTGTTGTGTTTTTTTTTCAGGTTTTTTTCCAAAATGGCGGTTTTTGACGATTCTCAGAATTATTACGCCGTCACTTCGAATTTTTAAAATTTAGGAATTTCCAAATCCTTCAGCCTTCACGATTTGTCTAACCGTCTGAATAACGCTCTTAATCTTTCAAAACCGCCAATTCGGAAGGTTCGCTGCTAAAAACTCGAAACTGCATTTTCGTCCATTCTGGTCGAATGTCACATCGTCGCAACTATTGTTGTTCTATTTTTCTTCTGGTTTTCTTCCAAAATGGCGGTTTTTGCCGTTTCTCAGAAGTGCGGCTTCTCAGTTCGAATTTTTTAAAATTTCGAAATACCAGAATATCTTGACCTTCACCGTTTGAGTAATCGTCCCAATAACGTCACTAATCTTTCAAAACTGTCAATTCGCAAGGTTAGCTGCTAACTATTTGAAAACGCCAATCTGCATTTTCGTTCATTCTGGTCGAATGTCACAGGTAACGATTGTACAGCTACAATTGTTAACAATTCGGACAGCTTCTATCGTAATTTCAGTCGTAAATATCGCTGTGTCTTCACGAAAATCTGTCCGTATTGTTCTATTCGCGACAATCATCGTTCTGATTTTTATCTCATTTTTAGTTAAAGCGAAATTTCAAGATCGTGACGTGTTTTTATTTCAGAACGAATTTTTGAAATTTATTTTGTCACTTTGAATTGACCTTTCCTAATTCGTTAATTGTACGATTAGTACAGTTAATCTACCAAAACTGCGAATCTTCCCAGTATACGGTTAAGAGTTTAAAAACAGTAGTGTCCACAGTCTACAGTAAAATTTAAATTTCGGTCGGCATGAAGTCCCTTCTGCTAGAAGTCCCGTCGGCGTGTTGTTGTCCAATCTAAAATTCACCTAGGTTTGTAACATTCGCCCGGAAGATACATATCGACGGATAACAAAACTAAGTCTTAAGACGACTGGCTAGCGTCTAAACAGAGCTTTGCATGTTTTTCACCGTCTCTACCAAGCCAGTACTTTTCGGTGGTCTTTCTTACATCAGGTCGACAAAAACGTTACTGTTCTCCGGCTTCGACCAGAACGCTCAAATTAACTGAATTACATGCAAAAATAGTGAGCTCATGGCTGGGTCTCAGTATCCCCAGACCACGAGGTCACTCCTAAAAACAGGGCTACTACTTATTATATTACTATTGTTTTTGTTCAGTAGATAAAAATCATCATCTCCATCGAAGATGGATCAACCCTTTCCCCCAACTCCTAGCACCTCATCCTTGTCAAAACTAATCAAAATATCAGTTAAATTCAAGTCAGGACATGACAGGATGCTAAAAGTTTATGTGAGTTAACAAAAGTTTCCGTCCCGAGACCCTTCCGGATTCTTGAATCCGCCGAATCAAGCTCCTTACTCTTGATTTCTTGCTAATCCGGAAGGCTGGTTCTCACCCTTCACCGTTGTTGGCAACGGTCTTGCAACTATTGTAGCAGCACAATAGTTGCAACTCGGAGCGTTCTCTGCTATTCTGTAGTTCGTTGTCGTTTTCCAATCTCGATTTTCGTACTGTTCGCAATCGCAGATAAAAGTTGTTCTGCTTTTTACTCGCTTTTTTGTAAAAATGGCCGTTTCAGCATTTCTCAGAAATGTGACGTCATCATTCGAATTTTTGAAAATTTAAAATACTAGAATATTCTAGCCCTCACCGTTTGGCTAAACGTTCCAATAACGTCGCTAATCCTTCGAAATCATAAACTCGGAAGGCTTACTGCTCAAAATTCGAATCCTGCATAAATTGTATTTTGGCCATTCTGGTCGAATGTCACAGTTAGGTCGATATCGATCGGTTCCGTCTCCCGCGTCGGCTCCGGTTCCTGGTGATTGGAACCGACCGGGTCCGGTTCTCTGCTCCTGCACAGGCATTTGTTCCGGTTTAAGAAGTCGGGTACTCGAAATCCCTGTTCTTAACCTCATATGTGACGTGAGCGAACGACCTACACAAATTGCAAGGCATCTCTTCTGTGCTTTACTTGTGGCTTGTGTGTAACATTCGCCCGGAAGATACATATCGACGGAAAACAAAACTAAGTCCTAAGACGACTGGCGTACGCCTAAACAGAGCTTTGCATGCTTTTCACCGTCTCTACCAAGCCAGTACTTTTCGGTGGTCTTTTCTAACATCGGGTCGACAAAAACGTTACTGCTTTCGGCTTCGGTCAAAACACTCAAATTAACTAGATTACATGCAGAAATAGTGAGCTCATGGCTGGGTCTCAGTATCCCCAGACCACGAGGTCACTCCTAAAATCAGGGCTACTACTATTTATATTATTATTGTTTTTGTTCAGTAGATAAAAATCATCATCTTCATCGAAGATGGATCAACCCTTTCCCCCAACTCCTAGCTTCTCATCCTTATCAAAATGAATCCAGATATTAATTAAATTCAAGTCAGGACATGACAGGAAGCTAAAAGTTTATGCAACAGGATAAAAGTTTCAGTTCCTTTACCCTTCCGGATTGATGAATCCGCTGGATCAAGCTCGCTAATCCTGATTTTCTCTTAATCCGGAAGGCCGTCTCTCACCCTTCACCGTTGTTCGCAACGGCCTTGCAACTATTGTAGCAGCACAATAGTTGCAACTCGGAGTGTTCTTCTGTTACTCTGTAACTCGTTGTCGTTTTCCGATCTCAATTTCGTTGTTGTTGCTAGCGCAGCTAATGTTGTTCTTTTTTTCTTTCTCGTTTTCGTCAAAATGGCCGTTTCTGACGTTTCTCAGAAATATGACGTCATAATTCGAATTTTTGAAATTTTAAAATACCAGAATATTCTGGCCCTCACCGTTTGGCCAATCGTTCCAATAACGTTCTTAACTCTTAATAATCATCAATCCGGAAGGCTTACTGCTAAAAATTTGAAGTCTGCATAAATTGCATTTTTCACATTCTGGTCGAATGTCACAGTGCTTTGTGCCTATTAAGTCCGTGGTAGGCGTTGGAGACTTAATCTCTAGGTCTCAGATTCGAATCTTGGAGGTAGCCCATTTTTTTTACTACTTCGAGGCTCATTTCTTATATTTATTATTACACTTTATTGAGCTGCTTTTTGTCGCGTTCTTGCAAGTTTTTGCGAAGCGAAGCTTGGACTCTGTAACAACAGATTTTTTTTGAAACCTCGTTGATGCAAGTTACCCGCTAGTACACCATAGTTCATGCTCATGACATTGTTAAGGTAGAAATGGCTACTGAGTGGTCTTTACAAGAGGAAATCATTTTTCGAGGTGAACCATATCTAGTATCGTTCAATGCTGATGATGACGAAAAATTCTCAGTCGAAGTTCAGTCAAGTGTTTCGGCTGACCAATGGAGAGCATCTTTTGAGAAAGATTATATCGAAGAGCTCACTCATAAAACTGGCAACTTCAAGCAATTTGATATATTTGCAAATATGCTAGAAAACGCAATCACTGAAAGCAGTGATGCTGTTTCACTTGAGCTTTTAACGTATTCGGATTTGGAAAATTTAAGGAGTCAAAAGAATGGAAACATCACGAGCACACGACAACCAGTGTCTGCTCATGCTAAAAAGGGTGAACTTACCTCAAAAAGATATCTAATTTTGATTTATTCAGTTGAGTTCGACAGAATACACTATCCACTACCATTGCCATACATGGGTAAACCGGACCCTGTTGAACTACAAAACGAAGTGCGCGCATTGAAACAACAATTGAGTATAAATTTGTCTCAAATGTCATCAGTTAAAATTGACGATAATCAAAAAATGCTCACTAGAAGATTGAAAGACGAAATAACCAGGCTGCAAAACGAAAAAGAAGAAATTATTCACGAGTTTGAGCTGTTCAAAAAAGAAGTCAAAGACTCCACTAAGACGAGCCTAGTTGCCAAAGAGATGAAAGTTCTAAAAGGTGTAATTAAAAATCTGGAAGCTGAACTGCTAAGAGAGAAATCTAAGCACCAGAAAGCTATAAATAAATTAAACCATGAGTACAACCAGCTTCTAGATGAGATCGAGGAAAGTAAATCAAATGAAAGATCACTTCGATCCAGGGTCAAAAACCTGACGGCTGAGCTCAACATGGTTAAAGGTCGCTCTAATGGTTACAACAGTAATCTAACGTCACAACGAGTTAGTTCGCCAAAAATGTCGCCAAGGTTGCCTAAGAATTCGCCTGGAGTCAGCAGCCAGAACTCATCACAAGCCAAATACTTAAACGGAACGTCAGCACTCCAAAAATCAACTCGATCAAACAAGGTCGAAACTGATTTTAGAGGAAGACAAAGGAAACGAACCAACTCTTTCGAGGACTTGCGAGTTGGAGCTCGTGGTAATAATAGAAGTCTAAGCAGAGAGTTACCCGTAAATGGTGCAAGTATGAGCCATAGGTCACGTTCAAGGTCGCCAAGTGGAAGCACTTCTTCACGAACGAGATTCGATCCTACGAGTTATATCAAAGAAAAAGCAATGAAGCACCAGGAAAATAAATTAAGACGAAGTGCGGAGCAGCTTCCTCAAAACAGACGTAGAAGAATATCTGCGAACGCTTCCGTGTCATCGCAAAGAGGGAGGTCATCTTCTTATGATCGGAGCAGTAGAGTCATTGCGCCTCTAAAGACATCTCAGAGGGGAGCTGGCTTTACATCAGGCGAGGAATCAGACGCGTCATCACTAGCTAGTCGAAGATCACGAAACTCCACGTCAGGCAGAATTCTCACTAAGAAGAATGGTCTGAACTCATCTAAGGGAAGCATCAGAAGTAATAACGGCTCACTGCGAAAAGATAGCGTCCCAAAGCCAAGAGCTTCAGATCATATTTCGCCTCGTGATTTGACTGCTGCAGTTAATCGGTCTTTGCAAGCCACAGAACGCAGCCAAACTTCAAATTTGGATGTTCTTAATCAGTCGGCAGATTTGGAAGATATCGATGCACGATTAAATGCACTTCAGGAATTCATGAAGCTAAATCTCTAATTCTAATTTTGGCTGCCTTTTCTTGAATATATGAGAACTGCTTATCAGAACTTCTTGCCTTATCGCAATTGTAAATATGTGAATAGTTTCTAGTTTGCCACCTTGTTTTAATTTGACTACAATTTTTCTGTTTTTTTTTTATTGTGAGAAGCAAGGCACCTCAAGTAACAGAAAACTGCTAGTTCAAATCGTTTTTTTTTCGTAACCGAGGAAAGGGTTCTTTCCATTGCACTAGCTCAGCTTCCGTTGTTTTCGAGGCCTATTTTTTCAAACAGAAGTCGTACGTTTTGTTGCACGACATTACATTGCAAGGTTTATAGTTTATTCGGACAACATGAGCTAAAGTGCTGATTTAAATTATCCGGACGAAGAAATGATTAAAACTTGAAATTTAAAAACGCGTTTTTCTCCAATTGGATTGACTTAAGAACAAAGATGCTGAGGATAAAACTTGCTTAGAATTTAAGCAGAATTAATGTGATGCAATTTATTTTGCGAAATTTGGGCCCAAAAACGACCATGGTCGAGTGTTTTGTCAATCATAAATTACTCGAAAAGTATTAATTGAATTTTTGACAAAAATATAACAACGTGAGCCTCTTATGTAGCCCAACAAAATTTAAGCAGGATAGAACCGTGTCAATTTTGTAAAAATAAAATTAATTTTCATTTGATAGCCAAAAATGTCACTTTACTTTATAAAGTAATTGTTTATTAAAAAACAAAATTCAAATGTTTTGCACCATTTTTTGAAGATTATACCCTCTGAAATTTTGTATACCTTCTGATATATATGAGGCTTACTTTGATATATTTTTGACAACAATAAAACCAATAGTTTCGGTGTGATTTCCTTTTGACTATAAGAATCAAAAATGTTCGTTTTTGGTTTCAATTTTGGGCCCAAATTCTGCAAAACAAAATGATTCATAGTAATTCTGCTATAACGCTAGGCAAGTTTGTCGTCAGTTTTTTTCGTCTAAAATCAAACCACTCTGAGAAAAACTTGTTTTAAATTTCAAGTTATAATAATTTTGTCTGGACAATTTAAATTTGCATTGTATATTTTTTCATTTAAAGCGCAGGCATTGCTGCTGGGGACAACAACCTTCTATGCTCCGAATTTTCGTCCAGTTTGAATAATCATCATTAAGAGCTTTTATACGTAGTGCTTTTATAGGTCGTAATGATTTTTTTCAGGAAGTCTTAAAATTTGTTCCCGCTCAAATTTGAGTTTTCGCAGTTTGACTTTTGAATTTTTTAAGTTCAGTTTATTTCCTTTGTGATGAGAAGGCCAAACTCCTCCTTCGAACAGCAAAGTGTAATCGTCATGAAAAACGTGATCGACTTCTAAACTCATGGAGCTTTAATGGCCATGTATATATTTTTCTAAATTTGATAGTTTCAAGCTTTTTTATGCTCGGGGTAGTTTTTTTTTATTCCGAACCGTTTTCAAAAGAATATTCGCCCTCTCGGAGGATCGATCCCTAGATACTCCTGTGACACGCCAGGTGCACGCACCTTTCTATTAACTTGGCACGAAACTAGCCGAACTGCTCATTTTGTTCTTTGATGAAAATTATTTGCTCGTGGCGAATTATGCTGCACTACTAAATCGTTCCAAATTGAATGGAGGTATGCTAATTTGTCTTCTTTTCCATACACGATGTTTTCAACACACTTAAGTGAGACCAGTTAAAAGGCAGCCGGAACATTCAAGGTTTTGCCCTGATACAAGTAGTCTTGTTTGTACTGTACGTTAGTCATGGTTTGCTTAAATTCAAAATTGAAAATTTTATTTTGCTTACAACCTGTTTATGGTGGTTTGAATGCTGCAAAACTGGTATCACTATTCGCATAAATTTTCATATTTCGAACGCGTAGGCAGAAAGTTAATCCGGTTCAGAAATCTTTTCAAATGGAATTGGTGCAATGTAAGTGATTCAAATATGGCGTTAATTGACTCACAAAATATCCTTTTCGTTTTGAAATAGAATGAAGGAGAATATTTGAAAGCTAATTCGAAAATTTTCTTGTTTTTTCGTTTATAGAATTTTCATTATGTTGAAAGGTACATTAGATATGAAGACAAGCAGTTAGAACGTCCACTCGTCACGCTACAAAAAATAAAGCTAAATTTTCTTTCGGTTAAATTCTTCCCAATTTTTGACATCATCATATTTGCATAAATTGAAAGCTTTTTGAGAGGAAAGTGCTTGCATTTTTAGTCTTGTTTTTTAGAATATAAATCCTTACTGAAGCATATTCATAAGAAAAACATGTTAAGGTTCGAGGTATAGAGCTTCGTTTTGCTTCTGTGTAAAAGTGGGCTACCAATTCCTAATAATATAAAGACAGCCTGTTGCTGTGCAGCGAGCGCAGAATGTTTTGATCTCTTTGATTTTAGGAAAGCATTTCAAAAGTGTGGGAAAAGCTCGGAATATTGAAAAAAAAATCTTTTTTTTTTTCGTATTTGGTTGATATTTGTAGTAGCAGGCGAAAATTAGGTTTAAAAAACTTGAACAGCGAACACTGAATTAGTAAAAAAAACTGAAGAATGAGAGATAATTTCAATAAAATAACGTTGAAATTGCAGAAGAAATAATTTGATTATGATCAAAATTAAGTTGCAGTGTCACCAAATTTCGTGAAATTTGTCTGAAAATCGGAAAAATCTAGACCAATTGTTTTGACAGAAAATAAGTTTTTAAATTTAATTGTGGACCTAGATTACGAGTGAAAAGGGCTTTGGTATCATAGCCCAATTGAACCTTAGAGGTTTTCTTGAGGTAGTCAAAATCGAGAAAAAACACCCTAAACCATAGTTCTTGCTTTTTATTCATTCATTCATTCAATCATTGATGGTTTTTTTTGACACCTTTTCTTCACTCAAAGGTGTCCTGGTCTCAGAAGAATTGATGTCGAAACAAGTGGGTCTTCGGTTTTTTCCTAAATGTCAAATTATCCGATTCTAATTAAAGCTCCCGGGTCAGGCTGTTCCATAATTTTGGTCCCGCGAATGTAAAACATCTTTTTCCATATTTTGAACGTACCATAGGTAGACGTATACTAGCATTCCGTCGCTTATTTGCAAAAGTTTGCCGTATCGTAGTCGCAATTCCATCAAAGTAATCTGCCACTTTTTCATTATGAAGTATTTTGTTGAGAAGAACCAGAGACTTGAGTTTTATACGCTGACAAACTGGAAGCCAGTGAAGTTCATATAGCAGGATAGTCGTTGAGCTCTGACGATGTGCCTGAAACAAATATCTCGTGCCAGCATTTTGGATCCTTTGTAGTGTCTGAATCAATTTTTAGGTAAACCCAAAAACAGCGAATTACTGTAATCCAGGCGTGATAAAAGCAGAATTTTAACAAGAATGACACGAATATTTAAGTCCAGGTAGTGGCTAACACTGTATAGTTTGCGCAAGACGAAGTAACATGTCTCTGTTAACTAGTTAATATGCGTAGCAGCATTCCAGCTCATATCAATTATTACCCCTAAAGTTTTTAATTCGTTTAAAATACTCACTTCATATCAACCAACAAAGAAGTTCCCAACTCCATTCTCAAGCTAGGTTTTGCCAGAGAAATAGTTTCAGTTTTATCAGGGCTCACCACCAAGCCAAGTCTTTTGTAACATTCCAGCACATTACTGCTTTGACCATGGCATAATCATTTTCTTTGAAATTTGCAGCAACATAGAATAAGGTATCTTCCGCGTACGATTGATAGGAATCATCGAGATTTAAAAAGAAACCTCGAAGAGGTAAAACATGAATGCAAAGTAAGAGAGGTCATAAGATCGACCCTTGAGGAACATCATGCTCGACAAAAAATCCATCAGAAAAAAATGATTCAATGAAAACCTTCTGTCGCCGACTACTGAGATAAGATATAAACCAATTCACTATTTTATCAGAAAGTCCAATATATTTCTTCATGACTCTGAGCAAATAATCATGCCGAAGTGTATCAAAGGCGCTTGATAAGTCTAGGCCGATCAAATTCAGGTAATGATTCGAGTCCAAAAATTTACAAATATCATTTGACGTTTTTAATTATTTTTCTGTTGAAGCACCTGTTCTTTATACAGGCTGACCATTATCCATGAGATCGAAATTCATAAAATGTTCTTCTTGTTACGCGTGTATAAATTTTTCCAAATAACTTAGAAAGAAATACAAGGTTACATACTGGTCAGAATGCAAGAAATTCAGGATCTAAATTTTCCTTTTTAAGTGTCGGAATTATAACTGCTTTTTTAGATCATCAGGAAAAACTCCTGTTCCAATACACGTATTAAAATAGTAACAAATTGAGGTCCTCGAAAACTCTTTTTTTTTAAAGATTACAGTCCTATTTAAATCATGAGGAGCTGTCGCATGTGACATTGATAAAACAGTCTGATGTAAATCTTCAAGTTTGATTGGACTGAAACTTTCCATTAAAATTTGAGTTGAATTCGTAAATGATTCATCAAAATTTTTTATACTTAGTGTTTCAGTACATAGTATTGATATTTCGTTAGTAAAATAAACATTAAAATCATTGGCCAGAGTACCTTGCAATTATGAAAAAGTAGTACAGCTGCAGTTTTGTTTCCTATTAGTTTGTCAAGAGGTTTATATTTCTTGGAGTTTGAGTAACGTTGATTTTTTTCCGAAAGTGTTCTCTCTTCTTATCCACAAAGCAGTTTCTCATTTTCCGATCATACTGTTTGTATTCAACAAAACTGATTTTATGTTTTCGATACATTCTTTCCAATTTATGACGTTTCCGTTTCATTTCCATCAGCTCCGTATAAAAAATCACATTTGCGAATAAGTTTACTGCGCTTTTCAAGAGGCGAATGAAGTCCGTTATTGATTCGACAGTTTGGTTAAAAACAGTAAACAAGTTTGAAATTTTCTCAGGAACACTAAGACCAATATTTAAGTCCAAAAACGAATCACGCATTAAACCAAACTCAGTTAATAATAACATTTTTCCAACTGCGATATGTAAGTAATTTTTGCTTGGTTTGAAGGAAAGTACTCTTTGCCGTATATTTTACGAAGTGATGATCAGATTTATCAAAAGCAGAAACTAAAACCTCCTGAGGTTTGTTATTTTCAAATGAAAAAGT